ACAGATCCGCTCGCCCCTATCAGCTCATGGGGTGCGACAGTGGAGCCGCCCCCCTCCACCGGCACCCTGGGCGCGGTGTCTGATCCGCCCGCTCCCACCGGTCCTGAGGATGGGTCGATGGTTTGACCCATCTCCGCTGGCCTCACATACTCACTTCCCCCCATATGGAATGGGAAGGGTCCCTACGTGGATGAGTGGGTACCTGTCAGTGTATCCTCACCCTCCAGGACATCCCACTCCACATCGACAACTACCTCATCAAACTCCTCCTTGTCATCGTCGTCACTGCCTGTATCCTCTCCTCGCTCTCGTGCTTGCTGCTTTCGTAGCATCATCTTCCTCTTGAGCTCCCTCATCTTCCTATCCCACTCGGACGTGGTGCGATTCGTCATCGCCACGATTCGGTCCTTCGACAGCGGAGCCGGGCTATCCCCGAAGACGAGTCTCTTTGACTGGTCCTGCTATCCCGAGGTCAGCATCAAGGGGCCAGGAATTCAAGTAAAAAGGAGGCACGGGGAAAGAGAACTTACAAAATTGTTGAACCCCGGTTCCAGCCGTATTGGGGGATGCCCTGGCACCGGATACATGAAATCAAGGACAGCGCCGACGTTGTCCTTCGAAGGCTCCATCGCCTCCTTGATGCGCTGCACCACTTCGGAGGGGGGGAGCGCTTTGTCGACAAGCGCTGTCCCTTCGAGTGACGCTCCAGGCTCCATCAAGTATAGGGGAAGCGCGCGGCTCATCAGTGGCACCACCCTTTGCATATGGTAGGCGTCGATGATCCCCGATCCCTTCACGCCCTCTCCTTCAGAATTTGGAGGGCGGTGAGATGGTCCTTGATCCTCTTCTTGTCTTTGTCCGGGACACCCCACTTCCACGACCCCGAGAACTCTTCGATGATGCGCCCAGAGAACACCGGCAAGGGGGCGGCAACGTCATCCTTGACGTAAAACCATTATGAATGCCACCCCTTGTTGGAGGTCGACAGACGTATTGATGGGTATTCGTTCACCCGGCGCATCCCATCGGCATGTTCAGATCTTGCTTCCCGACCTGCTTCTTCAAAAGGTTGACGGCGAAGAGATACCGCCATAGGTCGAAGTGGGGGCTAATCCCTAGGAACCCCTCACACAGGGCAACGAATGCCGCAATGTGCTGGACCCCATTGGGTGTAAGGTGCTGTAACTCCACCTTATAGTAATCCAACATCCCACGAAGGAACTTGAGGGCAAGTATGACGAATCCCCGCTCATGGAAGTGAGCAAAGGACACAACACACCCTTCGGTCGGTGACTGTTCGTCCTCATTATCGGACAGCCGCCACTCCTCGACGACGGTCAATGGGCGAAGGAGGCCACGGCGAACGAGGCCCTCCAGGCGCTGAGGGGTGATGTCAGATCTGCACCACGGATCCATTGAGAGATTGGGAGGGGGGTGGATGTGAGCTTGACGGCGGGCGGCGATGCAAATGCGAGCCTAACGGCGGCTGCAATGCGGGTGGCAGAGGCTCAGGCGATTGGCGGTGGAGGTTACAAATGCAAAGGCGAGGAGGCAAAGTACGGAACCCTAGGGGTGAACCCCTTGGTTTATAGGGGCGATGGATGCAAGAAGGGCAACCGACCGCCTAGGTCTCCGAGTCTACCATGATACACCACCACGTCACGTCGCGGGATATGCGCCCACGATCCCTATCCTTTCCCACCAAAATTGCGCCGGACGTTTCGTCTTCCCGAGTAGACCAAGACTCTTTTCCCACAGAGGGGATACAGGTCGAAAGGCATTTCTTCGGCCCGCCTGGGCCTAGGAGTTTGAGGCCTGGCCCAATAGTTTTGATGGTCGTCCCAACGAGGGATGGGCCCGCAAACGGCCTGGACTTAGGCGCACGAACCTCAAAGGAGTCTCGATCTGCAAACAAGTCTCAACCGGGCTAACCTTGGGTGAATCCCTACGAACGGGATACCGGGGTTCCCTTTAAACTGTCCAGTTGACAAAAACCAAATCTCACAGCCATACCCGCGAAGGGTCCAAAATTACCCCCCAGGCGATTCTATCCGAATCACCTGGGGGCTCAGGGGCTACACCCGACGGGTGCGCTCGCGCGCATCCTCTAGCGAATCGAAATACCCCCCGGGCGATTCTACCCAAATCACCTGGGGGCTCGGGGGCTACACCTGTCGGGTGCGCTCGCGCGCACCCTCTAGCAAGTCAAATCACCTCCCGGACGATTCTATCCGAATCACCTAGGGGCTTAGGGTCTACTGTCGGGGACCTAATACCAGGGTACCCAATGAGGTTGAACTAATAACCATCAAACGTTGACGCTTCCGGTTAGACAAGAACGCTACTACACTTCTTGCCCAAACGACGGAAGATAGGTTCCACCTCGCCCGACCCTCGAGGGCTAGACTCCGCCTCGCCCGATGGCTGAGGGCAGGCTCCGCCTCGCCCAAACGTCTGAGGGCTGGCTCCGCCTTGCCCGACGTCTGAGGGCTGGCTCTGCCTCGCTCGACGGCTGAGGGCAGGCTCCGCCTCGCCCAAACGTTTGAGGGCTGGCTCCGCCTCGCCCGACGGCTGAGGGTTGGCTCCACCTCCCCCGACGTCAGAGGGCAGGCTCCGCCTCGCCCGATGACTACACCCTGCTCCTTCATGATGACGAGCAGGAAGTAAGACAGGACACTCAGGTCAACCGCAGTACCGAGGACCATGCCCTGCACGCCTGTAGGAAGGTACCATCAGGATACGATGGGACGGGCGCTTTAAGCCCTTTCCGACCTAATAGGGCCCGAATAGTGTTGTAGGCGCCGACTTTTGTCCTACAATGTTGTAGGCGCCACCATCAGCCCTCGAGCGCGGATACTAACACGGGCATACGATAACTACTACAATCCAAGGAAGAACTCACGTCATCTACAGTAACAGGCGTATAGTCATTTCTCCGTCTACTCCCCGTAGAGTTATGGCTCGGTGCCCTAACACACTGCACCGTCCGCTGGGGGAGGATGGGACATGACCACTCGCTGAGACGAAGCCAGAGCCCGGCCTTATCAAGATCAACGAAACATGCTATCCTTGGCGTGGTCTGCCATGTCAGCAGGGTAGGCTCAAGGGAAAAGGAAGACCCGGCACTTTGAAGAACCTTCTCTACCTTTGGTTTTTTTCTCTTTCTCCCATCTATAACCCCTGCTCCCCCCTTGGTCTATAAAAGGGAGGGCAGGACGCCCCACTAGAGGGACAGATCAATTCCACATACAACACATAGCCAAACAGCAATCGAGCTCTTGGCATCCTTTCGACATTTCCATTAGAGACTTGGGACCTGTCCCTCTCTTGACCGTCTGTACCCCTACTACGAACCTTTTTCGGTACTAATAACACGAGCAGCAGCAAACTGGACGTAGGGACGTTCTGCCCGAACCAGTATAAACCTTGTGTCCTTTAGTACACTATTCGAGCCTAACGCGCAACAAATATAAATTTACTAGTTGGTGTTTGTTCGAAACACCGACAATAAGCCAAATTTCAGCATAACCGAACAAGGTGATCATGTTATGCAAATGGGAGGCAAATAAAAATGTGAAAATAATCTCACCCACTAGTTCCTTTCGCATGCGCTTCTCTCTCCCCCCAATACTTTCCCAAAGGCACATCACGGCTGCTCGGCATGGCTGTCAGGCATGGGTGGCACCGAGAGGGCAGACCGCGAGCATGGCGGCGCGATGCGGCCATCGAGCGCGAGCAGCGCAGAGAGGCGAGACCGTGAGCAGCCCGGGCGACGCGGCCTGAAGCGACGCAGCGGCCAGCCGGCCAAGCACGGGCAGCACGACGGACGAGCGCGGGCAGCATGGCGTGGTGGCCGGATGTGGGGAGGCCGAGCGGATGCAGGCCTAGGGCTAGTAGGGCCATGGCCCTAGTCGCACCCCAAATGTTTTAGGAACAAGTTTTTAATTTTGGCCCAACAACGAACAGCCCAATAAGGAGAAGAGTAGGGCGGACCACGGAGTCACTCGGTAGCTATTGGCGTTTCGCCATTGGAATTTGGCCCTAGTCTTAGCTAAATCATGGGTCCGCCACAGCAGTGCGACTTCATATTCTTCTGTTCTTATGGTCATTATTAGCTGTTCGTTTATCTCTTTGTCGTATGAGTTTTCTCGGGCAAGCACGAAGGAAATGAAAACAAGATATCGAAATGGATTCTTTTTTTCTCCAAAATGAGCATCTACGGGCAGGATTTTAGAGGAAACGAATTGTCATTTTCTTTGTTCCAAACGCACGTTCTCACTTTCTTTCCTCCGTTTTGCTTTTCCTGTACTTTTCCTTCGATGTTCATGCAATCCAAACGGGGCCTAATATAATGCCGTTAGTGGCTAAACTACGCACTGAAATGATTATGTCCATGCATCCGTTAAGTAAACTCCAAGCTGGGGGTGGGGGGGTGTAATTAGCACCTAGCAGCCTAGTCCTTGCACTATTCACGTGACTTACACTAGGAATACTTTTTATCCTTACATTATTCACAGGACTTGCACTATGAATAGCGTGACACATGAATAGTATAGAAATTAATTAATCCCACATGAATAGTGTAAGCCGTAACCACAACTCAAGTACTATTCCTCGTTAGGCATGCCGCGGTTCTTTTCCAACCGAGTAACTTTCTCGCCCTAGAGAAGGAGAAAACAACAGGTAAACACCACAATAATCAACCTGGCTAGTGACACTGAGAATCAACCTCGTCTCCTCCTCCCATCGGCCATCCAGATCCTGCTGCTGCTGCTAATAAATCACCCCAGCCCCATGACTTCAACACTCACCACCGGCCGCCGGAAAATATCATCTGATCGCTTCTATTCCCAGCCACCCACTTCCAACTGGCACCCAAACATTCCCACGTAACGTAATCTCCGGCCGCAATAAATACCCTGCCCGAAATTATCTTCGGCGAGGCGGCGACGAGCTGAGCTGAGCACGACGAACCCCGGACTCCCTCCCCACGCCTGGCCATGGAGGACTGGCTCTTCTACACGCTCACCACGCTCCTCTGCCTCCTCTGTTCGCTCCTGCTACGTGCCCGCGCCCCAGGCAGCAAGGCCCGCCATGCCGACTCCTCCTCCGCGATCCCGCCCCTGCCCCCGGGCCCGACGCCGCTGCCGGTGCTGGGCCCGCTGCTCTTCCTCGCGCGCCGCGACTTCGACATCGAGCCCGTCCTCCGTCGCATCGCGCGGGACTACGGCAAGGTCTTCACCTTCAGCGCCCGCTGGGCGGCGCGCGCCCGGGCATCTTCGTGGCCGATCCGCGCCATGGCGCAGCGCAGCAGCGCTTCGTGCAGCGCTGGCGCCGCGCGTTCGCCTCGCGCCTGCCCTCCACAGACTCCAGCGCCGTGCTCTCACCAGCGGCGGCCGCAGCGTCGGCTTCTCTCCCCACGGCGCCACGTGGCGCGCGCTGCATGACGGAACCTCACCTCGGGGTGCTCAACCCGACGCGGCTCGGGCCTTCTCCCCGCTTCGCCGCTGGGTGCTCGGCGTCCGCCGCCGCCGCGCGTCGCGCCGATGGCGCGCCACGGGAGACCCCGTTGCCGTCATGGAGCCGTCCAAGACGCCATGTTCGCCTCCTCGTCTACATGTGCTGGGCGGCGACGCGCGTCGGGACGACGCGATCGTCCGGGACATCGAGGCCACGCAGCGGGAGCTCCTCGCCAACTTCCTCGGCTTCCGGTCTTCTCCTTCGCGCGTTCGTCACCAAGGTCGTGTTCCGCGACGCTGGGAGAAGCTTCGTCTCGCTGCGGCGTCGGCGGGAGGAGCTCTTCGTCCTGGCCCGATCTGAGCAGCGCGAAGGCGGCGCCGCCGGGACTGCTACGTCGACTCCATGGTGAAGCTGACCATCCCGAGGACGGCGGGAGGCGGCCGACGGACGGCGAGATCGTGAGCCTCTACTCCGAAGTTCCTCAGCGCGGCACCGACACCACGGCCACCATGGCTGCAGATGGATTCTGGCGAACCTGGTCAAGAACCCGGCGATGCAGGCAGGCTTCGGACGAGGTGTCCAGCGTCGTCGGTGGCGCCGACTGCGAGGTGCGCGAGGAGGACCTGCAGCGATGCCTTACCTCAAGGCTGTGGTGTTGAGGCGCCCGGCGCCACCCGCCGGGCCACTACATGCTCCCCGCACGCCGTGCATGAGGACACGACGCTGGAAGGGTACGCGCGTGTGCCCGGCGCGCCAAATCAACCAGCGGTGGGGACATCGGGATGGACGAGGAGGTGTGGAAGGCCCCCGCGGAGTTCCGGCCGGAGCGGTTCCTGCCCGGCGGCGAGGGGGAGGACGTGGACCTCACCGGCAGCAAGGAGATCAAGATGATGCCGTTCGGCGCCGGCCGCCGGGTCTGCCCCGGCATGGCGATGGCGCTGCTGCACCTCGAGTACTTCGTGGCCAACCTCGTGAGGGAGTTCGAGTGGCGCGGGGCCGACGGTGAGGAGGTGGACCTCACCGAGAAGCTTGAGTTCACCGTCGATAATGAAGCGACCGCTCAGGGCTAGGGCCGTGCCGCTGCGGTCACCGCCGCCCGCCGTCGCAGCTGCTTGATCGAGGGCTGCCTTCTCTCTAGCTGTATTACGTACGTAGCATCATGGCAACCAATTGGCAGTAGAGTCTGCTTCTCGTTACTCGGTCGATGTATTCATATAACCAAATATTAGGTGCGAGTAATCAAATTTCTCTTGTTCTTTTGGGGGCTTTGGTAATGGTGTAATGCTGCAGCTGCACTAGCTAGTGTGCTTGTGTGTACATATAAAATACGTAATAAGTAAGTAAATATTTTACCCCCATTGAACTACAAAGATGATAAGTATGTAGACCATTTATATTTGTCTCCAGCGTTTAGCAGTGTTGAAGAAGCGACATCAGGCCACACTTGTGCGATGCATCGATGGTGACAATTGACAAATACCATACACTACAGCCCTCTCAAGGACGATGGCGTGGCAGCGATCCAGGCTGCTGTTTGTAGAGCTGGGCGATGCAAACACGAAGCTTTTTCATCTTCAGGAGTGTCACCGTAGCAGAAAACACTGCATTCGCTCATTAACTGTTGACGGTCACGCTGTTGTCGACTACGAGCAAATGGCGGAGGCTCTGTTCGCACACTACAACCAGTTTGCTTGGAACGCCGGCACCACGCTCAGCTTCTGTTCGGTTCGATCACATTGGTCGGCCGACCTTGGAGCTCTTGGGCCTTGATGCTTGCTTCACGGAAGAAGAGATTTGGGCAGTTGTGCGTGACACCCCAGATGAGAAGGAGCCACGGCCCGAAGGATTCACGGGCCTCTTCTACGAATCGGCCTGGGAAGTCATTTTTGTCTAAGTTTGGATGCACGTCTATCCATCTCAACCCATATATGTTGATGTGGATTGGAGTGAAATTAAACTAAATTATATTCTTATCCACTCTAATACATGTGCATTAAAGTTGATACACTTGCATCGAAATAAGGCCTAAGCCGGTGGCAGAGAGAAGGCCCGGGCAACCTGGGCTGGTGCCCGGGCTCACCAACTGGTGAACACGTTAGCAGGTTGGTGATTGCTTTGATAATTGGTTGAAAAAGTTATGTAGAGCCACTCCATCAACGAGCACGGTACAAACTTGTGCTTGGGAGATGGATTAGCTTAAAATTACTGTGGTTTTGCTTTCACGTGTAATGCTCTATATTATGTGTTAGGTCTTGTTTGACAGGACTCCGGCTCCGGCTTTTTGCAGCTTTTTGAAAGAAGTCTTGCTAAACGGGCATCTAAAATACGGCTCCTTTTTAAGAGTCCAAATGATCTAGATCTATTTTTTATATAATAGTTGGAGCCACAGAAATATGATTTCTCCTGGTTCCTCTTCACAACCTAATATAAAATGTTACAAAACTGCCACTAGAGCTATTTTTACTAAATGTTTTTCAAAACAGCTTTAGATCCACAAAAAAATTTACTCTGCATAAAGAGTCGGAGCTATCTTAAGAGAAGACAGAGCCCTACCAAACGAGTCATTAATATTCGTCTCGCCCAGGCTTTAAAAAAATCCGGGCTCCGCCGCTGGCCTAAGCTGGATATAATTGCTGCTCTCAACGTGTTCTCGTCCTTGGACGGCCATAGTTTCCATCTAGTAAATGATGCGCTGCTAGTGCTACTAAGGAAGAAATCTGATGCAGATTCTATCAAGGACTACAGGCCTATTAGTTTGATGCATAGTTTCGGCAAAATGATTACAAAGTGCCTTGTCTCTGGGCTTACCCCCTTCCTGGGTTCTTTGGTTATGCCGAACCAAACATCATCATCCGAGGACGCAACATACAAGATAATTTCAGAACGGTGCAATTATCATGCAGGCTGATCAGCAAACTAAACACTCCAAAGGGTGCTTCTCAAGGTTGATATAGCAAAGGCGTTCGACTCGGTATTGTGGCCCTTCTTGTTGGAGGTTCTTGATCGAGGCTTGTCTTCTCTCTAGATAGTATTACGTACGTATCATCATGGCAATGAATTGGCAGTAGAGTCTGCTTCTCGTTGCTCGTTTGCTATATAAGTAAGTAAATATTTTTACTCCATTGAACTAAAAAATTGATAAGTATCTAGACCACTTGTATTTGTCCCCAGCGTTTAGCAGTGTTGAAGAAGCGACATCAGGCCACTCTTGTGGGAGGTCTCCATCGACCATCGATGGTGACAAATCCCCTACACTACAGCCCACTTCATCCTAGATCAGGTGTTTCGTTTCATGAATTTATTTCATGCAATGGTTTTACCTCTCGTCTTTATACTAACTATTAGCTTTGGGAGTGACTGAATCAATAAAGTTCATTTCATGAACCAAATAAAAAAGCAGAAGTGAAATATATGATACATTACTCTATGTTCATACTCCCTCTGACAGGGAAAATATGCAAGTTTTTTTTGGATAAAAGACTCAAAATACAAAACATTAAAGCACGATACAACATATTGGGAATTGCTTTTCCAGATTACAAACTTGTATCACCCTAGCAACTAGTAAGACAGAGTCAAAGTTATGACTGAAACACAGATGCTCATAAGCAAGGTTACAGAACTGCATCTTCAGACATTAGGTAAAGGCAGTAACCAAATAGTTAGTAACAAGTAATCAAATTTGTCTTGTTCTTATGGGCGGCGCTTTGGTAGTACAGGCAGTAAGGTAATGCTGCAGTAGTGTGCTTGTGTGTACAATATGTAAAATGTTTTACTCCATTGAACTACAAAAATGAAATGAAAAGTATCTAGAGCACTTGTATTTGTCCCCAGCGTTTAGCAATTAGCAGTGCTGATGAAGCGATTAGCGCTTGTGCGAGGTCTCCATCGACCAACGATGGTGACAAATACCTTACACTACATCCCACTTCATCCCAGATCAGGTTCCATTTCATGAAATTTGATGCGATGGTGTTACCTTTCGTGTTTATACTAACTATTAGCGGCCGGAGTGACACTGAATCAAGGTTTATTTTACGAACCAAATAAAAAAAATCTGAAGTGAAATAAACGATACATTACTCTATTGCGGCTATTGTACATAGTCACCTACTCTCTGAGGAAAAGATGCAACTTTTCTTTCTATTAAAACCTCCATGATACTTCCTTTACTTAAAAAAATATTAGAAAGTAATACCTTGAATAAATTTGAGCCATTATTTTTTTAGATTTTTTATAGTTAATTAATTAATTAACCTAGAAAAAAGAAATCTCAAACCCCCTCGTCACGGGAGAGAAAAACGTGCGTCCACTTCCTTCTTCGTGCGCGGTCGCTCCCTTTCTTTTCCGCGACTGCCCCTTCCCTTTTTGAGAAAATTTCCTATTTGGCCCTGAAAATAATGCTCCTTTCCTATTTGACACCGAAACTGAAAATCTTTCTTATATGTCCTCAACTCGAGTTTTTCTTTCCTATATGACACTTTCGTCAGTTTGGTTTGCTAACAGTGTCAAGTCCTATGTGAAAAGTCCGTTTTACCCCTAGAGTTTTTTTACCGGTCCTGACATTCCATGAATAATATTGCTATCTTTTATGAATGTTTTTATCTCAAGCTACAATGTTTCAGTTTTTGCTTGTGTTAAATAAATAAAAGATCAAACATCATCTTATATAATTACTTATAATTATATTCAGTTTAAAATTAATTCTTTAGATACATGAATAACAACAATAAAATAGGTCAACAACAACATCCAATTTGAAAAGATGACATGCAGCAGGACGATAACACGTTTATTTTGGAAAACTCACATGTTCACATTCAGGTTCACATGCACAGAAACATTCAGCATCCATGATTATATTTAGCATCCATGATCACAATAAGAGTTACATTCAGGATCACATGCACAGAAACATTTTCACAGGTTTGCATCCATTACAGACATCTCTAACACAATACACATTTAGGTAATTTTCTCATACAAG